GGCGGCGCGCGCGGCGCGGCTCGGAACGCGGCGGAGGGATCCGGGGGCCGGGCAGCAACGGCGGCGCGTGGGACGCGGCGCCAGAAGCGGCAGTGTCGCCGCGTTCCGTTGCGGCGCGGGCGAGTGTCGCGCTCGGTGCCGCTCTGCTCTCGGTTCCTGGCTCTGCTCTCGGTTCCTGGCTCTGCTCTCGGTTCCTGGCTCTGCTCTCGCTCTCCGGTCTCGCCCTCTGCCTCAGTGATGGTAGCTTGAATCATGGTTGCTCTTTGTAGCAACTGTGGCAATTTGAACCCGTGCTAGGGCCGTTTGGCTTGAATGAACTGACGGATAAACACAGTCCATCAAGTCGTGAGGCTGTCGCCACCAAATCTTGCTAAATCGGAGATAGTTTTCTTTGAGGAAAAATCTTTTCCTTCCAGTTAAGATTTCTACTCTTCTTTTTTTCCCTCAAGATCGTTAGGTCTCATACTTGTCAAAACTTAATTTTTATAGAAGCTTCACTTGCCTTTTGGCCTTAGGTCCCCAGAAAGAGTTTAATATAACAAACAGAAATATTAGACTTTGACGTAACAAACAGAAATATTAAMTTTTAAAAAGAAGGCAGTGAGTTAACTTTAAAATTCCTAAAAGCTAATCTGTTAACATAATATAAGGGCTTCTGCCTCTGCCTTTGGACTCAAGACAGACCATAATGCGAACACTTCATTCCTAGGCTAGGAAAGCGATTTTCAAGATTCACACACGAAACTGGGTCCCACGACCACTTGACATGCTTCTGGACGAGCTGGCTGAAAAATCCGTCGGTAAGTTCATCCGGTGGTAAGTTTTCTCCTGTGGGAGATGCCCACAGGAGAAAAGTTTGCCTGATTTGTAAGCATGCAGGCCAATTAACAAAACCTCTGCCGTGCAGTCACATTTTTCAAATTTTCTACTAGGATATTTGTTTTTAAACTGCATGCAGGGTCTTGACATGTTGCACTTTGGCAACTCGACTTTTCCATGTTGCCTGAGACTGGCATAACATTCAATTTGATTTTTTTTATTATTATTATTAGGATACTGCGGTGCTGATATCAGGTCTGCATGTGCCGAAGCCGCCCTCTGTGCTTTGCGGCGMCGCCACCCTCAGACACACAGGAGCACAGAGAAACTGCAGCTAGATATCTCTTCGATCAAAACAACACCCAAAGATTTTTTCATGGCTATGGAAAAGATTGTACCAGCTTCACAGCGCTCTGTCTCTTCCCCGGGACAGGCATTATCACCCATTTTTAAACCACTGTTTGAGAATACTTTTCAGAGAATTTTGCAAGTCCTGCAGAGAGTATTTCCTCATGCAGGACTTGTTCTAAAGAAGAACCAATGTCAAGGTATGACACTAACATGTACAGCTAGTTAAAACTAAGTGTTATTTTAGCTATCAGCATTTTACATCATATTCATTTAAACATTTGGGGATCACACTGCACACTTGCATGGGAGATCACATGCCCCATATTGCTTTATAATATTCTGCTAGCTCTTCTTCCAGGTGAGTTGCTACATTCATTTTTATTTGTAGAATAGGCTGAAAGCCACAAAAAAATGCAAGCAGAGATGCCAGGCCATCCATAACTGCTTACCCTTTCACAAATGGTGGGTGTCCAGGAACTGCAGAAATTGTTGCTGGCAATCACATTTCTTTGTTCTAGGGGGGAAAAAARGGGATTTTTCACCAATAAAGAAATATAACTTTAAATATAGCATTTAGTACAAGCCCATCCAAGGCAGAAATAGATGATAACTGGGTTTAGAAGCTGTCTTAGAGTGAGAGACATGCAGACTATCCAGGAAAGTGAACAAACCCTTGTGGTCTTTCAGATGACAAGAACGATATTTTACAAAGCGATTTCACCTGTAGTGATGACGAATCACTTTCAGCCTTTGAAGATAAGGAGGCTTTTTATAAAAGGTCTCAAATAGAGATGAAATTCCTCRACTTTAAAAGGTGAATGCCCGTCCCCTTTTATTATGCTGTTACATCTTCTTTCAAGAGAAACTTGAAAGAGAGAAGAGTAACATTTATGTCCTTATTAATAACTATGATTTTAAAACTTATTTTCTAATTTTGCTCTAGAAATGCTTATCACCAGCCAACATCTCACAGGCCAAGGCTCTTGCTGTCTGGGGAGCGAAACAGTGGGCAAGGTTCTCACTTGGCACCTGCAGTCATACACGCCCTGGAGAAGTTTCCAGTTTATACCCTGGACTTGTCAGTTCTGCTTGCTAGTACCTCGTCGCCAGAAGAAACATGTGCCCAGGTATCTTTTTTTTTGCCTTCTTTTTTCCTTTAGTCTCATGATATTCATTGACTGTAAGTTACTGCAGTGAGGTAAGTGAAATTGTTAGTGGAGGTGATCTGGTTTTTAAGTACTTTAGTATTATAACATTTGGACCTTTTATGAGAAGCTCCTGAGAGGGGGACACATAAGTACAGATGTTATACTGAGCTGGRAGGCTCTTCAGGAGTTAACTTACATCTAAGCAGTTTGGAAATCAGGCAGCAGTCTGGATCTCTGCCTGTCTCTGTAGCTTTGTCAATWATTGAGTCAAAGCAGAAATTTTACTTTATTGGTAGTAATTTTTTTTGATTTTGGTGGGGGTTTTTTTGGTACTTTGTCTTTATGCACTTCTGTGTCGTAGGTCGGTTTGATACCTAGTTATTTATTAGCAACCTGTGCTCCCTGGTTCATTGCTCTAACCAAAGCTTTCATTTTATAGTTTATCCGAGACGCTCAGAGGACAGCACCCAGTATAATTTATATCCCACGTATCAATGTATGGTGGGAAACGGCTGGATTTGCACTAAAAACTACTTTCACAACATTACTGGAGAACATTCCAGCATTTGCTCCAGTTTTGTTGCTTGCCACATCGAATGTCACTTACGCGGATCTCCAAGATGAGGTATTTCTAGCAATACTTTTCCTAATTCTTTTATTCCGTTTCACTTTATGAATCCTTTTAAGTATACAGATACTATCCTCTCCTAAGCAGATGGATACTTTTCTTACTAGGGGACCCTACTGAACCATTTAATTTTGCTTAGACACCAAGCAGGGCTGGGAACATTTGTCTAAATTGTTTTGTGAGTCAAGGGACTCGCTTCAACATCGGCAAGAAATCTCAAAGGTGGTGAATGTCACCACTCTGCCACTGCGTCACGAGGTCACTGCACCTTTGAGGTCCCCCACGAGATTAATTTTTAGAGGTTTTCCTTGTCTTTTTGGAGTAGTGATCTTGTATCTGAAATGTCTTTCCTTCTCATGCCTTAGATACAAGAGTTGTTTATTGAAGATTATGGAGAAGTTTTCGATGTCCGACTGCCTAATAAGGAAGAAAGAAGAAACTTTTTTGAGAACTTAATTTTAAATCAGGCTGCGAAACCTCCTGCCTCTAAAAAGAAAGCAGGTGAGCCTATTCCACAAACAAAAACTTGCTAACAGCCTTACGGTAGTTGTTTTGGTAACGGCTTTTCTGTCAGTAACTTTGTGTGTGTGCGCATGTTTGAGCACTGGAGATTGACTAAACCTTTCTGGTTAACTTCAGCTTGGCAGGCCCTGGAAGTGCTGCCGGTGCCGCTGCCGCCGGAGCCTCACAAACTGACGGAGGAAGAAAAGCGACAGATAGAGGAGGAAGAGGAGGATTCCCTTCGGGAGCTTAGGTTTTTCCTAAGGGATGTTACACACAGACTTGCCACTGATAGGCGTTTCAAGGCCTTCGCAAAACCTGTTGATCTAGATGAGGTAAACTGGTTTTGATCGGTAATAGTGCTTTCTTTGCGTGTGTTTTTAATTGCTCCTTTTTAATTACTCTTTTTTTTTGAGTAGTCACTGAAAGCCCTGGTTTCCTTCTAGAAAGTCAGGCCGGATACCACCACAGTTTGCTTGGGAAAAGACTTTGATACATAGGTGTGGTACAACTTTGCAAAAAAATCCAAAGATTTCTTTATAATTATACACAATATTCATAGGGCTGTTTTAATTTAGGCTGGAGCACTTGCTCCACCTTTGTTGACCATCAATGGTTTCTATTGGGAATGTTTGCAAAACCAGGGAAGATTCCATCGGCCATCTTAGGTGGCTCCCCAGTAYAAGACCAACCATAAATGACAAAGTYCCAAACTTCCAAAGTCCCTCTTTTTCTCATTCAATTTACTGAATAAATCTGTTAAGATAGGGGCATATACCTCAAAGTCAGTTGTCATTTTAATATAGTTGTGTATATAGCAAGGGTCTTGTCCCTCTGGGCATCCCTTGYCTTTCCTTCCAAGGTCTTGAGCTGTGAATAGTCTGAACAAATACAGGTGTTCTTATCCAAACTAGTCTTTAGGCTCCTCTCGAGGTCTCAAGCAAAGAGAAAAGTACCTCTGGTCAGGATACCTCATCCTAAAGGGGACGCCTAGGAGAGAGGCTTCCAAAGGGCAATTTCAGCAGCCCAGAGCTGCCCAATTCCAGCTGCCCAGAGCAGAGACCATCTCAAATGGCTCAATCAACTCTATTTATTGTGATTTTCTGAAGCTAAATGAGATGAACCCTGCTCTGCATGTCTCAATATTTAGACTTTCCTGCTTCTTTTCTTCTTCCTTCCAATCTGCCTCTTCAAAACCATTTGAAAGAGCCCTTCCTTTTTCAAGTGGCTAATTGGTTAATGCCATTATCTACTGATAATGCCACAAATATTTGGGGTTTTTAAGAAGTTGCTTATTTGAATTGATKAAAATAACTTTGGTAGATGCTGTGTAAGTCTAATAAAATCTCTGAATGCATATATTTAATTTGTAGGTACCTGATTATATCACAATTATTAAACAGCCAATGGACCTTTCAACAATTCTCTCTAAAATTGACTTGCGTCAGTATGTAACTGCAGGAGATTTTCTGAAAGATATCGATCTAATCTGTAGCAATGCCTTAGAATACAATCCAGATAGAGAACCTGGAGGTGAGGATATATCTTTATCCCTAATTTAGATAATCTTTAAAAGGTAGAAATTGATAGTGCAGTCTCTTGACAATGGACTTTGGATTAGGTCACTTTAAACACCCACAGAGAGCATTTCTCCCCAGGTTAAAAAATTATTAGAGCATTAAACTATTTGGAGAGGAAATTATGTGCAATCAGTGCTCATTAATAAGTAGTGTCTCTGCCTTTATCATTAACTTTTATGTTAAAACTTAAATTTTTATTTTTTCTGCTAAAAATATTTATGCAAATAACTTTCAAACCCTATTGGGAAAAGAGTTAATCTTTTCCATGTGATCAAAATTAAGGATTTCACTTAGCTTATGGCAAACCCKCACTTCTCACTGTCAAATTGCAGGTCGTCTCATTAGACACAAAGCTTGCACTCTGAGAGATGTTGCATATGCCATAGTAAAAGCAGAAATGGATGAAGACTTTGACCAAATCTGTGAAGAAATCAAAAAGGCTCGTAAGAAAAGAGGTAGCTATTTCAATCCTAAGGATTTTAAGACTTGCCTCCATATCTGTAACCAGAAATGGGAGACAAACTTTTTGGCTGTCTGTTCTTCATTGCAAGGTTACAGCTCTCCAGCCTATGTGCCTTCTTACTACAACGTGAGGCCACAGCAGGCCTCTGTTTCTGGATGTAATAAGAAAAATAAGCRTAATAAAAGAGTCAAGACGACAGTGCCGCCTGTAGCCTGCAGCACACCACCGTCTAAAGGCAAGTTGCTTTTTCTATTTTTTTTTCTGAGGCATAAATGAGGCATAAATACAAAGATTGTTTAAAATAGCTTACCTGAATCATAAAATTTTACTGAGAACTGTTCACATAACGAGACAGTAAGCAACTTTATCTAATAGGCAGAAAATATGATTACAAAGCAAGGCTAAAGTAGGAATTTTCTCTGCATAAAATCTTAGAAGTTTAATTTAAAATCTTAAATTCATTCCAAAATCTGGCAAATTGACCACATTAACATGTAACTTTAGACCTACATAGGTAGTGAGATTTGACAGTACTTTCCGTTTTTTGATGTTTTTCCTTGAAACACAAGGCAGATAAGAATACCAGKTTTTAAAGTAACCGCTTTGATGATGCGTTGGGTTCTTTTTTCTAATATCTCAYTGCAGCTAGGTCAAAAGGAAAACGCAAGAGAGGCAAATCCACTTCAAGTAGTGAAGCAAAAAGGAGAAAGGTTTTGCAGTTCAGCAAAGTGAAGAAAACTGGAAAAGACCAAGATGAAGARGAGAGTGATGAAGAAGAGTTTCTGGAGAGCAGTGTTTCCAGCATGCCTCTGACTGAAGTTGAACTCATGCGAGGCTCTCATACGGACCAAAGCCACAATATTCTTCCAGGACAACGGACAAACGTCTATGAAAATAACTATGAGACAGAAAACAAGAGCTGTTGCTCTGCAGCTACCTCTGGCCCTGCAAAGAAGACAGCCAAATCTTCTCAATATTCAGAGCTAAAAAAGAGAAAGGAGATTTTTGATTCCCAGATGGCAGAAAGTTTTAAAGAAGATGATTCAAAAGGTAAGGGAAAGTTCTAGCAGGTCATTTAGTTGCAATGTGCTGTTGAGGGAAAGAGAAATAATAGAGTGAAATTAAAGGAGGCTATTTCTATTTCCCTTCACAAATCATTGCACTGTTTCTTCCATTATGATCCTGTCCCTCTGATTACACTACCAAATTAATATTTTTCTTAAGCTGCTGCTCTTTTGATTCTGCAGTCAGTTCTTGCAATTCTAGCTCCTTGAAAACCAGCAATCATTTGCTTTCTTTTATTGGATGGGCATCTTTCCGAGAATGAGCAGCTGAGGCTAAGAAGCTGTAACTCAGCCTGTGTAGATTTAGTCCTAATGTGGCAGAGATGACTTGGTTCCCATTTTCTATGGAGGGGAAAGTAGAAGCCAAGTATTCCTCAGTGAACTGTAGAGAAAGATTGGATGCCGCTGGTGGGACAGCTGCTGGATAGCGGTGGTCCATATTCCATATAAACAGAAATCATGACTTAAGAAAATGCTTTCATTCCAGAAACACAAATGCTTCATACAAGGTCGGCTGGATGTTCTCAGGCAGAACAGCAGCAATGGATGGATATCAAGGAAGCGGTGGGAATTCTCGAAAACCCACATCCCCCTGTTGTGATAGATTACACAAAGCTGATGGTGAGTCTGTTTCCACTTTTCTCTATAACAAAGTGGGGAGTTTTCCACCCTCACTGATGTGAGACAGYTGTGGGCAGTTATTTCCCTTTGCCTGATGCTGTCTGGAGGGCCAACAGCCTCACTCCATGCACAGCTCCTGAACCCTGCTGGCAAGGGCTTGTATTATAATGTTACTGGTTGGCTCCTGAAGGCTTGAAGTGCCTTTTCAGAAGCTCTCATTCTATTTTAAACTTACATTGTCTCCATTTGCTTTGCAGCATTTGCTGGATTTGGTCACTGAACTAACTAAGGACTTCAATATATTTTACTTGGAAAAAATATACGCTCTCCTCAGCCAGTGCATTTACCAGCATCGGAATGACTATGACAAAACTAAACTAATTATGGTAAAGTTTACATATATTTATATTTTCTCATGTTTACAGATAGTATTCTATCACAGTTACACAGTCTCCATGCACTCTGGACATCATGCTTATCTAATATTAATTGCTTTAGGGCTTAGTTGTCATGTAAGACTTACTCATTTCCATCTGGAAGACATTTATCCATATTGCAAAAGCATTGTTATATTTGGCATAAATATCTGCAGTTTCARCAAATTTGTGCTTACTAAAAATTGGTCTTTTTTTTTTTTATTTCCAGGAAATGAAGAAAATAATTAGAAACTTCTTCTGCGCTTCATAATGTCATCTGCAGAATACACTTCATTTCTACATTATGAAATTTTAGTTTAGTTGCATGTTGTTCTGGTAGCTGTTTATAATTCMGTAAATAGTACTTCTAAGTATAGATTTTTATATACATACAGATTTTATATACATACAGATRCAAAAGGAATATATCTTAAAATATATTAAGAAAGCTCAGGTAATGCCCTTTAACTGCTTTTAAGGGATACTTTTGTTCTATACCTATTGTGTGAGAAATAGCAAGCTTGGACAGGAGAATTACACATGTTCTGTTGAGATCACCATGTTCAGCTTGCTTTTCTACTACCACATTTACTTCAAGTCTTTTACGTCRCTTTTTTATGTGACATATGTTTGTTGGTGTCTTTTGGAACCTTACAGAACTGAACATTTTCCAGACAATCTCAGTGCCTCTTTTAAAACACAACATTGGAAAACTTGATAAGCTTTTATTATCTTATTCCAACTTGTGACAATATATTGTTCTGCAGCAGCCTGTGAGGCTGTGTATTCCATTGTGTATTGCCTAAACACTTGAAAACAAAGCTTATTTTAACACATGAAAAGYAAATCCTTTAGAAACTCTTAATCCAATTGGAGGTAATATTTAATTATCTGACAAATCCTCAATGGCTTTCATAGAATTAACCTACCTAAAGAGTGTTTGAGGAATACTGTTTCCACAACCACACATTATTTTTGCTGTGACATACCTTGGCTTGAGACAACTTTCAATATAAGAAGATAATAAATAATATTAATAATAAAAAACAAATTATTTTTGCTGTGACATACCTTGGCTTGAGACAACTTTCAATATAA